CTGGCGTGTCAGCCACTCCTCCCAGCTTGATCATTTTACAGTTCACTTCTGATTTTGGCAAGGATCTTGCTTCAAACTATTCTAAACTAAGAAGGACAGAAGTGGGGATGAAAACCCCTCAGAACAATCCCCTGTGATTCTCACATAATGAAATTACAGAAAAAAATAAAATCCCCTGCTCCCCACACCTAGAGAGGGCAAAAATTGCAAGTTTTGGTAACTCCCAGAAGAGCAACCCTATGCTATTTCCTACATGATTGCCACACACTCCCTCTGCAGTTTGTCAGGGCGTATTTTGACAAAAGCCGGCCAACAAGTGTTCCAAAATTTTCCTGAATCGTGAATCCTCCTTTTTGTTTTGGGAATAAATATTTGAGGTAGAAACCAGGCCAGAGAGAGCTAAATGGCCAGATTCCCACTGACTTCAACTGAGCCAGCATCTATTCCTGTCATACAGTAAATTCTTATTTTTTTTTTTTCTTACTACACTAATACCAGAGGTGTTTCAGTAAAAAGTAAGTCATCTTTGGAGCAAAGCTTGGATTTTTTTTTTTAATTTTCTGAGCAGTGCTTAAAGTTCTGGTCATGATAAGGTGGTCCACAGATACTACTACAATATCATATTATAACAGAGTCAGTATTTACAATGCAATATTTGTATGCTATATATGACAAGGAAAAAAGGTATTTATCTCAGGAAAATGTGGATGGGAACTAATTTTTCTCTTACTCATAGGAAACTGCTATTAACCCTGTAAGCCTGACCAAGTGCTGACTTAAATCCTTGATGTATTTGTGCCTCTTTATTTTCCTACTGGTGAGGCCGCACCTTGAGTACTGTGTTCAGTTCTGGGCCCCTCACTATAAGAAAGATGTTGAGATTCTGGAGCATGTTCAGAGAAGAGCCACAAGGATGGTGAGGGATCTGGACAACAAGCCTTATGAGGAGCGGCTGAGGGAACTGGGGTTGTTTAGCCTGGAGAAGAGAAGGGAGGGGAGACCTCATCACCACCTACAGCTACCTAAAGAGAGGTTGTAGAGAGGTGGGTGCTGGTCTTTTCTCCCAGGTGATGGAGGATAGAACAAGGGGTAACAGCACCAAGCTGTGCCAAGGGAGGTTCAGGTTAGAGATAAGGAGGAAGTTCTTTACTGAGAGGGTCGTCAGAAGCTGGAACAGGCTACCCAGGGAGGTGGTGGAGTCACCATCCCTGGATGTATTTAAAAAGCGGGTAGATGAGGTACTCAAGGATATGGTTTAGGGGGTAGACAGGAACGGGGTTGGACATGATGATCTCAGAGGTCTTTTCCAACCGAGCGATTCTGTGATTCTGTGATTCTTTCTTGCCTCTTTTCTTACCTTTGACTAAATAACTTAGCAGCCATACCAAGTCTGAAAGCTGTGCATCGGTGTGCTCAGCCTTTTCTATTGGGAATTGGTGATATGCTTTATTTTTTTTTTATAAGTGCATTTATTTTAAAAGAAATATCTTATTCTCTACTGAAAATGGAAGTGTAGAAGATAGATTTTTGAATAAAAGTATCAATTCCTTTGGCTCTGTTGTAGCCTGTCCCATTTCTTTAATTTGCCAAATCATTTAATATTAGCAGTATCACAAGTGCTATCTGTGGCCAAGGGCTCCAGCATTTTCAGCATTTCAGGCTGACCCTTATTTTTCCTTCCAAGTACTCCTTGCCATGTACAAAATTATTATACATCCTTTGACAAGGTGAATATAGTGCCCCATCTTGCCATCTGGGCTTTATTTAGGATAGCTAGTCCATGTGGCGTGTTTTTGCCTAACATTTCTTCCTCAATAGCATTGCCTGCAGATGTTTTCCCTAGGTTTTTCTCCTCTAGTTCCTGTTTTTGTTGACCTCTAAATTCCCCAGAGTTTTTCATTTTATTTTGTTGTGTTTTGTTTTAACTTTTGTTACATGCAAAGCATACGAGGCACATTCAGAGGAAAGTAAGCAGCAGTGCTCCCCGGCTAATAACTTGGTTCGTAAAGTCTTGCATATAATGAAGTTACTGTGAAGTGAGGAAGGAGCCCAGGGGCACGGCTCACCAGGTGCTGTGCTGCTGTGTTATCCTCATCATTTGCTGTTGCTCTGGGAGACAGTAAAAACTCCCTTGCAAATTCTGATGTGTGGGTTTATTTTTTCTTCTTCACAGCTGCACAACAGTGTGAAAAAATAATCTGGAGACTTGCACAGAGGGGTGTAAGTGGGAAATGACTTTCTGGTGCAAAAAAGTTGAAAACTACAGGCTTGTGATACCTTTCTACCTTATACTACCATGCATACGTTCCCACTGTGAAATCAGTAATTTTAAACATACCTTTGATAGATACCATAATTTCTAAATGAGATACTTTCTTAATGCTTGAATAAAACAAGAGTTTTGGTGTTTCCCCAAGATAGCATGACCATATTCAGGAGAAAGCACTGACAAAGCAGAACAGTTTAATCATAGATACTGAGACATATTTCTGTGTTTGGTCAGAACTATCAGTTCTACTCTGAAGACCTGTAACAATCCTCTTAACATCAACTACTCAGAGAATATTTGCATTACAGGGCCTAGCTGAATATGTACCTATTTCCAGCAAGAAATATTTCACAAATGAAAAAAAAGAATACAAGAAAAGGCATATTTTTAGTTGAAATGACCAAGTAGTACAAAGCAGGATGCAGGATAAAAACTTAAAGTGCTGATGAGTCTAAACTCACTGAATATTGACTTAGATTCTATCTATGAAAATAAATCCATGGTAAAATTAAGAAAAATAACATTAGCACATTTAATTCTTCAGTTATGATTAAAAAATGGAAGAGACTCATTTGCATAATTCAAGCTCCACCTGTCATGATAACAGGCTTTTTTCCCCATGTTGTAATATCGTGCAGGTAGCTGTATTACACTATGGGCTCAATCTACATCTGTATCACAACTCTGGCAATGGCGACTCTTAGGAAACCACACCCTGTGTGTACCCCATGTCTTCTCATGGTAGTTCTTCTAACTCAGTCTCAGATAAAAGAGTTGGGGCCATGGCTTCCACTGACCAATGTATTTATTCTGGGAGAGCCTTATTGTTAAGGAAATACTCAGTTGAACTCTGAGTGACCTTTCCTACCTCCTCTTGCAAATGTGTTTTTGCTAGCTAGCATACAAAATTCAAACCAGATATGCTCAGCTTTACATGTACTCAGTGAAACCACATAGAGAACACACTGCCTGCTTTGCTCAGCGTGAGCAGCAAGAGCAGCCCATTAGGGAAAAAACCCACATCAAATACAATTTAAAACTATCTTTTCACCTATTTTTCAATTTTCATGATATAGAGGTACTGTCACAGATGCTGATACACTTCTTTGCTCTGTTTTAATACTCAACTGATTGTGGAAGGAGCTGAATGGTCAATTTTCCTCCAAGAAACAGACTGAAGTGTAATTCTGAAAACATTAAAAGTATATTAAAATACATTGAATTTTAATACTAGTGTATGTAATATAAAAATCTGTGGTTTAGCAGCAACTTTTGTCTTCTGTTTCTGAAAATAACGTAATGGAGTTTGTGAACAAAGATGTTCTATAGCTATTCTCTAGTAATAAACATAAATGGATATTGATATCTATATTTATACAGTCCTTTCTACCTAATTCACTGCACAAACATGCAGCACTGTAATTCTGATAAGTAGATAGCAAACAGATGGAATAATAAGATTCATTCTCATATGTATCATACCTGAAATTCCTTCCATTAGCTGAATTACTGTTCTGACAGTAATGGGATTTTCTTCTCCCTTTTTTATGTCATGGTTGGTTAATCAAAAAGAGACTTAGCAATAATCTAAAATTTCAGAGGAATATGGACACCGCCTATTATAGGTAATGGAGTTTTTATGGAGACCTTTCTCTCCTGATAGTACAGAGAGCTAATTTGCTTGGAGTTACCCTAAGTCTAGATATCATAATTGTAAGAAGTAGATCAGACACCTATATAGTAGGGAGAATGAATATGGTTTATGATCCCTAACTGCAGGACATAGAGTATGACACTTCAGATTGTTCCACTTACATACCAAGTTATAGTCACCAAAAAAATAGCTTATATCTCTGTAAGAATGAGGTTATTATCAGACAGAAATCTAGTAAGTGCAGTCCATAAGACTAACAGGAAAGAGGTGATGATATGCATATTTTTAGTAAGCTAGACTGTGCCTTCACTGTACTGAGTCATAGAATTTTCTGTTCAGGAAAAACTCATTAAGATGCTTGTGTGATGATGGGTAAGGTATAAAAGTATCCTTATAATACACAAAACTAGGAAAAATACCCCACAAATACAACTGATTATGTTAGTTATACGTGAATGACTTGTTCTACACAGCTTTCAAGTATAACGGTTATACTTATTTGGTATAAGTTATGGATGTTAACAGAACCTGCCTATATCTCAGCAATGACATAACACTTGTATTTGTAATGTAGACCTTGTTTATCTTTCACTGTTTGGGAAGTTCTAAATCTATTTGTTTTGGTACTGCAGTGCATTTTCTTCAGCTCACTAGGTTGGTCATCAAAAGACATCAAAAGAACCTAGAAAAGAATAATGATTTTTAAATGTTTCATTCCTAAAATAATTTCTCCAGTGGTCATCTGAGATCATCTTCATTATTACTCCACAGGCATTGATTCTGGTTAACAACAAAATCAGCAAAATAAGCCCGTTAGCTTTTGCTCCTCTGAAGAAACTGGAAAGACTCTACCTGTCCAAGAACAACCTGAAGGAACTCCCAGAAAACATGCCGAAGTCTCTTCAGGAGATACGAGCTCACGAGAATGAGATCTCCAAGTTGAGGAAAGCTGTCTTTAGCGGACTGAATCAAGTGATCGTCTTAGGTACGAGCATGAGAAATTATAAAAAAATCACCTCAGTGTTTTTTCAAGATGTTGTTTTCAGTTCAATCAGTGATTTTATGTAGAAAGCCAAGAAGTGCTCCAATAGATTTTACCTGCAAATTAGCTTTCACCTGAAGGATATAGGTACCTACACTGCAGCTCAGCTCATGACCATGTTTTGTTGGCAGAACTAGGCACCAATCCAATCAAGAGTTCAGGCATTGAAAATGGAGCTTTTCAGGGGATGAAGAGGCTCTCCTACATCCGTATCGCAGACACCAACATTACTAGCATCCCAAAAGGTAAGAAATGCAATGATTATTCCAGAGTAATATAGTGACTTCTAGTTGGCTGGGAAAAATAATAAAACATATATATATATACATAGAAGGTCTTTGAGTCAGTCCTTTGAGTATTTTTATTACTTTACTTCATTTTTTGGTCTTTTGACTTTTTATTGGTTTGGAAATTTTTTTCTTCTTTTATGAGAAGCACTACAAGTGGTGTACTCTCAAAATAAAGCCTTTTTATGTTATTTTGCTTTTCTTGTCTCACTGCTAAAATATAAAGTGTAAGAGAGTTTTCACTCTCCAACCTTGATTTGTGAGCCTGATCAACACTATGCACATCTAAACTCATGTAGAATTAACTGAAATTCTACAAGCATAAAATCAGCCCTCCACAAGTCTGAGAGTTTGAAACCAAAATTACTATTCCTATACAAAAGACAAACATTTGCTATTTTTAAAGGTACTTCATTGCAAATTGCTACAAAATAAGAACTTCAATATAACCCATTAAAAAATCAAAACAAAGCAAAACAAAACAGAATGGTTCAAATCCAGAGGAAATTATATTCAATTTATTCATACTTCAGACAGTAGATTGTTTTGAAACAACCAAAAAGTTTTTGAAAGTTAATACTACTTGTTATTTCTTTCTTCCCACATTTCCTGTTTTGGATTTTCCTTTGAGGGACCCCAGATAGTTAAAATATTTGGTTCAATTTTTTTTTCTCTGATAAACAGAAATTGCCAACTAGTATGTGCCATACTAAAATAACATTAAAATTATTTTATAATCTTTATAATAATATTTTCTGCTACTGATATTTGTTAAATATCTAGATGCCAAATTTTTGTAGATTCATGTGCATGGGTAGTTCAGCTAAAATGAAAGCTCTTTCTCTTACATCATGAAGGCTAGAATTCGTATCTGGGAAGAATTTCATTTAGTTGTTTTTTTTTAAGAATTAACTGTTCTATGATGACCTTAGAAGCTTAGTCTTATTTCACGCTAACTAAATTGTTATTAGCTGTTTTCAGTTTCCCTGATTGTGAAGGTTCTTTGTTTCATTCAGTGAATTGTTGTTGGCCATGTCTAGTAAAAATATTTTTGTTACTGCCAAAGAGGCTCAGTATAACACAAGTCCTTTAAAAAAGAGATAATAATGCAGTTTTATCAAAAGAAATTTGATGGTTTTCTCTCTTTCAGGCCTTCCCCCGTCCCTTACTGAACTTCATCTTGATGGCAACAAAATCAGCAAAATTGATGCTGATGGTCTGTCTGGACTCACCAACTTAGCGAAGTAAGAATTTGTTTTTCTTTTCACAGAAAATGTTAGTTAAAATTGTAACCATCCCACACACAACTAGAAAACATCATTCTGTGCTTCGTGAGTGTTATCGTCATTGAAGCAGTACATAACTTAGCAGGGTAAAGTTTCTAAAGACTTATGTACTGGCTTCAGAGAAAAAAACACTTTTTTTTTTTTTTCCCCTAACAACACTTTCCAACTGTGATGAGTGATATATGCTCAAGACAACTGTTTCATTGATTAAAAGAAAGATAAAGAGAGCAATTAGATATTTATAATGATGCCATGCTCCTTTCATTGTATTTTCATCACTTGTTTATGCAGTTTTTAGTGACGCTGCATTTCTCATGCAATTTTCTCTGGAAACTGAGGAAAAAAAGCATGTGGTAACCAAATATGCTTGAAACAGTGTTTCCTCTCTTTCTCAAGAAAGGCAAGTCTTTGATGAGTCCAAGAACATGACAAAAAAAGAATCATACAATATAAATTAAAAAGGTCATTTATTCAGGGTGCTTATACTTTCCTAATCTGTGAATATGTTGTTGAATAAGTTTCTCTAACTGTAGGAAAATGAAAGGAGAATTCCCAAAGACTAGTTATAGACATACAAAATATGTCAAAACATACAATTTGTGAATTAGTTCAAAGTAGGTAACATGCTACAATAGTAAAATTGGCCTTTAATATAAGATATATTATTCATTTTATTCATTCTACTTGTCATAATAAAGGCAGAAAATAGAAATCAAAGACAGATTGCTGAGCAACAGCAGTTAAATTTACTACTGCTTATAGCAGCTTGGACAGCAATTTACTGCAATAATGTATATAATAACTTAATATGTATTTTGAATCTGGCAATTCCAGCTGATAAGACTTAGAACAGCTTTCTAGAGCTTGTCAAATAAGGATTTTCAATCCGTGCTTGATGTTCATATTTGATCATGGAGTCATTTCTGCTCAAAAAATGAAAAAAAAATCATATTTATTGGCTAGGGGACTATGAAGTAGTTATTGTTAATGATATAGACTTAATATAAAATGTAACATCCTCTAGAGAAATTATGAATAAAAACTTCCAAAACCAAAACAAGATCATAACTACTAAGGTAGAGAGTAATTTACGGCAGGATATGTTTGTGTGTGTATGTGGTGGGTGGGGTGTCAGTTGTCCTGCAGATGACCCAGTTTTTCTGCTTTTTCACATTAATACTTGGAAAACATTGCAGGCAACATCAAATGGACAATATTGTTGGAAGTCCTTAAGAAATAAGGTTTTATGCTGCAAGTACTGATGGACTACTGAAAATATCTAACCTTGGGCTGCTTCCATTGTGGCTGTACTGTACAGAGAAACAAGATACTCTGCTGATGGTTGTGTGGAAACCTAAGCATAGTCAGAAATACTGTTTTGCAAAGTTGAAAATTAAGGCAAGATTTGGCAAAAAAAAAGGAGGGCTTTTGACATAACAGAGCAGACAAAGAAAGGAGGGAACTACAGGAGAGCTCCAGGTCATCATATGAGATAAATCTGCCTGTTATACCACAGAAACAAGCTACTGAAAAATAGCTTTTATTTACACATCTAAGATTTCAGGAACATCAGTCTGGAGTCAGACCACTCTCCTCCTGCATCATGTCAACATATGCTCAACAGACTAATAGCTGCCCTAAAGCACAGTTAGGCTTTGACAAACAGGTCATTTTTCTGGCTGTGTTAAGGTGTTTTGAACTGTAAAAGCGCTTGGTGTAGATCTACTACTCATTCTCTTTTGAATTCTTGAGTTATAGTAGAACACTGATATTTGTCCTTTTGTTTGTTTGTTTTCCTTGTAAAATTACTCTTAAGTCTTCCAAAAGTCTTCATATAGCTACGCAGTATAAAAAAAAAATCTCATTTTTGTACACCAAAGACTTTGCTGTTTTCATGCAGGAATGAGCTCCACAGGAGGATATACACTTTACACAACTGATGTTACTAAAGTCCAGAGCCTATTAAAGTTTACTGAAAAGATCTAGCTCCCTAGAGTGAAAGTCACATCAACCTCTGAATAACAATATCTTGAGCACCATGGTTTGTTAAAGGGCATATAACAGAAAAGTTGGAATGGGCAAGCAGAGATGTTGGAGGCAAAAGAAAGTGAAAAGAACATTTGAGAATTTCTTAACTTTTTAGATATGTTTTTAATGATGTTACTGACTGGCCGAGGGCGCTGTGACTAGATCAGCTAAAATAGTGGAAATACATTACATATTCACTAATATAAAAGGAAATAGTATGTCAATATATTGTAGTAAGCAAGAGTGACTTTTCAAATCCTTCCCTTTTTGTTCCCATGTGAAAAGAGAGATGAAGACTAATTCTTTCCTAACACTATTAATCGCTCTGTATTTTACACACTAATATTGTCTTTTGTTTGTAAACATAGACTCAAGTGACTGAGAGTTTGTTTGTAACACATTTAGATGAGATGTAACTACATATAATTTCACTGCTTGTGGGACTGAGATCCACTTTTCTACAGACTCCTCCAATTTTACTTTCCCAAAAAGAGTTTCCCTGCATAAGCTAATCCACAGATGGATGTTGTCCATCCTTATGGTGTATAAAGGTGCTACTTTTGCTCCAACAGACCAATATGAAAGTCATAACTGCTTTTTTCATGCTAATCTCCTTAAGTGTGACATATCTGCTTACAGACCTGCCTAAGTAGAGAGCATATTTTTACATATGTGTCAACCAAGATTTTTGAGCTTTTTGCCAAACTGGTGTGCTTTTTTTCCCCAATCGTTTTAGAGACATTCACTCTAAGTATCCTTTACTGAAGTTCTTTGAAGACATTCTGTAGATCTTCAGTCTACATTGCTCTGTAGTATTAAATCCTCCAAGCTTTACTAAATCTTTATATCCTCTACTTAAAAGGAATTTTGTTCTAATAACTTTTAAATGAAAATTCTTCGTGACCAAATTCTAGCAAGGATATAGGGGAAAAAAGATAAAGCAAGCTAGATGAAGTAGGTTTAGCCTTTATAGGCATAATTTTCTCAAAGGACATCATCCTGATGATGAGAACTCCTGCAGAATTACCACTGAATTCCTTACTGCAACACAGAGCCTTGTAACATATGAGACTCTTAAAAAAATTCCATAATCTGGTAATTGCAAACTGGAATAGTATTAACACACAAATACACAGATAGGATCATATTTTCCAAATTTGGTATAAATTATGCTAGTAAACACAGAATGTGTATTTATGAAGAGGAAGAATGTTTTTGTGGTGAAAGCTCTTGGACTGGAACCTAGAAAAAATGTGTACGTCCCACTTCTGTGTCCTGATGAACTGATCATTATGTATGACTCAGCTCCTGTTTCCAGTTTGTAACATGGCTCTAACTACATAAGTATCTTAGAAGGCTGTGGTGAATTTTTAAATTTAACAGTTCTGGTCACCTTGGATTATGTTGTTTGACAAAGAAAGTTACAGCCAGTCCTCCTAAAGTCATATAATAATCACTTAACTCAGCCTTTAAAGAACAACTGATGCCTATGGAGGTACACACTACATATTTACAGTGGCATTAATCATAAAGCTCATGAAAGTATGCAGTACCATGAGCACAAGTTGAATGGTATCATTATAATTATGACAGTTCATATCAGATGTCAAACTTGTATTTAATTATGTTCTAAACTATAACTAGGAACTAAACTAGTGCCCAGTGATGACTCCATACCTCCCACATAATTCTGAATATTAGCCCAGTCTGTTCTATGACAGTAGTGTATAGAAGTAATCAACCCAAGATAGTTATGTGAGTAAGTTTAACATATTTTTGTTTGTTTGTTTGTTTTCAGATTGGGTCTTAGCTTCAACAGTATTTCTTCAGTTGAAAATGGCTCTCTTAACAATGTACCTCATCTGAGAGAGCTCCATTTGAACAACAATGAACTTGTCAGAGTACCTGGTGGGCTTGGTGACCACAAATATATCCAGGTAAAGTTTATCATACTGTCTCAGAGAGCAATAGTTGAAAGATTCTGAGTGGTATTTGTGTGGTTATTCATTCTTGAACAGAAACATATAAAGTATTTATGCAAAAGGTAACTTGATAAAAGTTTCATAAACTGTTGAACAGACATGGGAAAGTTGCAAACAGCAGGAAGATTTTTGTGTGGGTGTGGCTATGGAAGTGTATAGGTCTTTGTATCTCAGTGTGTCTGAGGACACCAAAAATATGGGATTAGTCATGTACTTTGATTTCCTCTTTACTTTAGAAATGCTTTCAAAGATAATTACTTCTGTTGATTTTTCTTTCAACTCTACACAGTGACATTTTCAACCTTTCCCAAGAACCTTCCCTTTGGCATCTCACAAAGCTATGCCTCCAGGAGGGCAGAAACACAATATGCTTTTCACATCAGCAGTATTTTTGAGGTCTGTGTGGCTGGCCAGCTAGAAATATGGCCTCTTGGAACCAGTTAAAATCCGCCTTCTCTTGGACTAAGATTTTACAGGAAAGAAAGCTCTCAAAGAATGGAGACTCTGAAATGTAAATCACCACTTGCATGCAGCTTGGAAAAATTCATCAGAAATGGTGACTCTGAAGCAAAGTAACATTCATCAGCTATTTTAAAACATCATAAGTGATTACTTTGACTCTGAGTCCTGTACAGTTTCACCTATGAGAGATAAAGTGGTAGTGCTTGAGAGAAACCAGTTAGCACCAAATACATTATATCCAGCACATGCTTCTGAACCACAGTGCTGTATTAATAATTCCATATCTTTGACTTCTTATTTTGGTTACAGAATTATCAAATGATAGTAGTGTTGTTAGATTTCCATGCAGAGTTTCTGGTCTTTCTCTATAAATTATTTTGAATTGGATATACACAAAAGGTAAAGATATTTCAAAAGGTAAGCAGAATCAAGCATTTGTTTGGAAAAAAGGACATATTTTTACTCTATATAACATTGTACAATATATACCAAGTGTTTGAGATCAAATAATTTCTCTTATTTGCCACAATATCTTCTCACTTCTATAATTCTGTCCTTTTCAGGTGGTCTATCTTCACAACAACAAAATTGCTTCAGTTGGTATAAACGACTTTTGCCCTCTTGGCTACAACACCAAAAAGGCTAGCTATTCCGGTGTCAGTCTTTTCAGCAACCCTGTACAGTACTGGGAAATCCAGCCCTCTGCTTTCCGGTGTATCCATGAACGCTCTGCAGTACAGATTGGAAATTACAAATAGATGTCTAAAGAAGGGGTTCGGTTCTTTTTCAGCTAAAGTACCTGTTGTAATAGGCCTGTTCAAAAAATTGTTGCTAACAATTAATGCAAAATACCAGAAACTTCATTTTAAAGTGGAGATGATCTATTGATGTAGAATAAATGAATCATTACAGATGTACAAGATCAAGCATACCACCAAAAAGAATTGACAACTGTGCTTTAAACTGACTTATTCAGCCTTCTTTTCCAGCATGCTTTCTGTGGTATTTTTCAGTTTACTGAATGCTACAGGTTTTCAGATTCCACTGTATATGAGATTCGGAGTAAATATTTGTCAAGCTACAATATAAAAAAAGAGTAAAAGATAGTGATTGAGGTTATTTTTATAGCCACAAAAAACAGTAGAGGGAAAAAGGACTCTCAAATAATCTCGAGACTTGAGAAGGTGAGAGTTACCTCCTTTCAATTTATTTCAAGCCCTGGAGGTTTAAAAATATCCAGTATAACACTAAGCTAATTCTGAATGTATCTATTTAGCAGAGGCAAATAAAGTTGTTGCTAATGTCATTATTTTGGAAAAATAAAATAAATTCATATTGTACACATAGTTCTTTTAAGTTTGCCATTCTTCTAGAGTAATGCTATTCAGGATTAGCCTAACATAATCCTATTGAATAAAATAATGAGTAGTCTGCAGTGCAAAAGCTGTAACCTATGTCTGGAGCTCAGTGACTGAATTTCTCTAGAGCAAATCCCTCTCACCTTAGTCACAAGAGCAGTTTTATTGACTTCAGTGAGACTGCCTTGTAGAGTATGGTATTAGATTTTAGTCATTGGTATCAATCCATGTACATATCTAAACCAAAAATAATAGAATTTCACTGCTCAGTTGTTCTGCATTGTACATTCATCAGCATAATTTACTGTGTTTTTTTTAACCAATGTTTTTAATTGTCAAGTAGATGTATGCAGGCTCCCCATCAGATGAATTTGTGGAATTTTGATTATAAGCAAAATCATCAGTATAGCCAAATAAAAAGTGAAGTAACACCAAGGCTTAGCTGGACATTGCTGGGGCATCATTCATAGAAGTATCTTCTTAGAGTGATTTGAAGCCCTCTGCAAATTTGGATTCTTCAACCCATACCAGTGAGTAGCAAACACATCAAACGTAGGCTGCAAATGTCTACTGCCAATCTGCAATGCTAAACACATACTCAATAAAAACGACACCTTAAAAGAATCTTCTGCAGCCTCATAATACTACAAGGTCAATCTCTCTAATTTGTAAAACTTATATGTCATTTATATTAAAGAATAATGTAATACAGGCAAACTCAAAAGTTTTTGTCTTTATTTTCTGTTTTGGTAGCATAACATAGCATGTCAGAAGTTTAATTGTAATTAAGTATTGAAAATGGAATATGCATTGTCTTAAACAACTCCACAGGGTTTGTATGTACATGGTACAAATGAGCAGATACAGATACAACTTACAGGAAGATATTTATACAATTGCTTATTAAATAAAACTTCATATAAACAGATATTCAAACTTCCCATTTCTACTCCATGGATTTAAAATCTCTCCAGACTAAGACTTTTCTTTCAGACCTGAAGCAACTTTAAGACCAGAGAAGCCTGGTCCTCCTCTGTTATATCTAAGGTATGTCCCATACCAAACTTTGTGCCCTCTGTGCTAAAGCACAAGCTATTCCTCATAAAATACATTCTTTGCTACCAACCAAGGGCTTCAAAGATAATGGGATTTTCCTAATTTTGAGTACTGCATAATAAAATTGAATAAGCAAATCCTGTAACATGAGACCTCAGCAATATCATGACCAATTCAAAAGGCAAACACATTGTTAGTTTTCCATAAATTGTGCAGCCATACCCATAACATCTAACTGATGGGACCCTATCCTAAGTCCAATCCACACGCAGCATCTGCAGAGACTTCAAAGCAGTGGGAAGCCCAATGTTTTAAAACTTCTTTTCATATAAATACAGAACAGATGGCTCTTCTACTTAAAACCAAACCAAAATAAAAAAGAAATAAAGGAACAAAGAACAAACCCAAACAAGCTATAAACAGTTGGGTGGAAAGAAATAAGAGAGCTGATGTAGAAAGCCTTTAGATCCAACAGTGCATCTCTGATCACTCCATGAAGTATGAAGATGGTAAACGGTCACAAAATAACCTGTAGGACTCAAATACATAAAGGAATAAAATCCTTGTTTATTGATGCATCCTACAGAAAGGATACTGAGGCACTGGAGAATGTCCAGAGAAGAGCAACAAAGCTGGTGAAGGGTCTAGAGAATAAGTCTTATGAGGAGTGGCTGAGGGAGCTGGGGTTTAATTTGGAGAAGACTGAGGGGAGACCTTATTGCTCTTTACAACTACCTGAAAGGAGGTTGTAGAGAGGTAGGTGTTGGTCCCTTCCTCCATGTGACTAGTGACAGGACAAGAGGAAATGGCCTCAGGTTGTACCAGGGAAGGTTTAGTTTGGATATTAGGAAAAATGTATGACTGAAAGAGTGATCAAACACTGGAACACGCTGCCCAGGGAGGCGGTGGAGTCACCATCCATGGAGATGTTTAAAAAGCGTATGGTTGTGGCACTTTAGGACATGGTTTAGTGGGAATGGTGGTGCTAGGTTGATGGTTGAATCTGATGATCTTAGGGGTCTCTTCCAACCTTAATGATTCCTTGATTCTGTGATTCTGTATCTCATCCTCTCCTGCATCCCTGGGCCACAGAGGGCTCACTACAGACAAGGGTGTGACCATTTCTCAGGTGTGAGAATAGACCCTCCTAGTGAGCCTGAAACAAAACATATCCTAATAATCTGAAAATTTAAGCTGGTAGAAAAAAGAGATATGAGAATAAAAAGGTGTAGTGACAATTTCTCAGCTACAAGAATGATGGAAGAATTTAACTGACACACAGAGGCTTTTTAATTTTTCTACCAAATACAAAATTCAAGCTAAAATAATAGCACTTGCTTGCCATTGTCTTTTAGAAACTAATTTTCTCATAATATGTTTAAAAAATATTTTTGTGATAAAGAAGACAGAATAATAAAATTAAAGACAACAATGTATTTTCTATGATCTTAAATTAATAATTCCTATAATTCTTCATGCTACTCAGGAACATGCTTGAGTAAATGTTTGGACTTCTCTTTTTCTTATTTAAAGAGCTTTTCAGAATTATGGCAAATATTTTCTGCTATTTTTGTCACTTTTCCCTTATTTGTTAATGTGACTGGAGTGTTAATTAAAATCCTGTAAGAAGTTTTTAATTAGAGAACATGCTCCATTGTATCTCCTACTGAATTGACTAAATAAGTTGAAAATGAAAAGAAAGTCTTGAAGAATTTATGTTTCTTTAACCTTTTACTGCAGTTTCATGGCAATATTGTAAGTTTCTTACCTTCTGGACAAGCGTGTAGGAAGGAGCTAACTGATTTCTAGCAAAGTTTTGAAAAACAGCATTCTTTAGCAATATATGGTTTTGTTAACAGAAAATGTGTGTGCACTTTTGGAAAGCCTAGACCTGAGGGAGCTGTTTGGTTTCTCCTGAAGTGTGCTAGGTTACAGATAGTCATCATGTAGTTGAATAATGATTTATAAATTATATAAAATTGAATTTCATTTCCAGGAAAGGATCATCTCTTAAATCATAGAATCATAGAATGGTTTAGGTTGGAAGGGACCTTCAAGATCATCCAGTCCAAACTTCCTGCCACTCCTCTCAACCTCCCACTAGAACAGGTTGCTCAAAGCCCTGTTCAACCTGGCCTTGAACACTTCCACAACCTCCCTGGACAACCTGTTCCAGTGTCTCACCACCCTCACCATAACGAATTTCTTCCTAATATCTAGTCTAAATCTACCCTCTTCCAGTTTAAAGCCATTATCCCTCATCCTATCACAACCTGCCCTTGTAAACAGTCCCTCCCCAGCTTTCCTGTAGGACCTCTTCAGGTACTGGGAAGCCACTATAAGGTCTCCCCGTAGCCTTTTCTTCTCCAGGCTGAACAGCCCCAACTCTCTCAGCCTTTCCCCATAGGGGAGGAGCTCCAGCCCTCTGATCATCCTCATGGCCCTCCTCTGGACCCACTCCAACAGCTCGATGTCCTCCTTGTGCTGGGGACTCCAGAACTGAATGCAGTACTCCAAGTGAGGACTCACAAGAGCTCTTATTTGCAGCTCTGCAGATTTGTTTCAGTTCCCTCTTCAGACTGCTTCTCAAATCCATTAAATTCAGTGCCTGGCAACAGCTCTTTGGCCCATAACCTGGCTTTTTTTGGCCTACTAGGGAACCACTCTGTTATAATATTTTTCTACTTATGTTTTCAACTTTTTAATAACAGATATTGTTATCTACTTCACAGTCATACAAAGTATTTAAAAGCTGAGAAATTGCTTTTGTTCGATGCTAGCATTAATTTCATGCCTCCATGATATCATACGCAAAATAACTAGAAAGGATTTCAGACGACTTTCTGATCCCACCACTACTCTGAAGTGCCATCTAGTGTCACTGAGGGACAGTAACAAAGTTACTATTCAGCAATTGTGAAAAACAGGAGGAAAGATGTTTATGAGGCTTTATGAAAAGAGGCCACACAAATTCACAGTGTTGTCTTCCAGTTTTCCTTTAAAAAAAAACAACAATCAGAGTGCATAGCTGTGAAATCAATAGCCTTTTTGTATGTCCACAGTCAAATATTCTTCCTTTGTATGTGGATCTGTTTCTGCTCATCCTCTTTGAATATACACATTTTTCTGAAATCAATTTTGCTGCACCTCTGTATTTATTTTGTTTTCAAAAGAAGTGGCTTTATTTTCACAGTCTTTACCAAGCTATTACCAGGTGGTTGGGTTTTTTTCCATTCTGAATTTTAAACCACTGAAGGGTTTAGTTGGTGTTAATTTAGTTGGAAGTGTTTTATTCAAGAAAAAGAAACTAAGGAGCATGTTAGTAACAAGTTTGGCCAAAACTAAAGGGGAAACATGGCATGTGAGATGCTCAATATTAAGAGCATCAACGTCAAACTGAAATATTTGAACTAAAAATAGTTGATAAATTTTAATATATAACATTACTCTAACAGTGCTCCGGCAGCTCCAGCTGCAACAGCACAAAGTATCTGTGCGTCTCCTGAAAAGGCACTAAAACTGTTTCAGTGTTTGAATTAAACTCAACACAAACACTCTGTCGGCTGGACTCATGAATGGATGTATTTGAAGTGACATAAAACAGCCTTTGGTCTCCTGCCCTGCTTCCTGCTCTGAAAGTTCAGGGCTGTTGGTGCACTATGAGTGCCTGAGGATCAGTCTGGATGCAGGCGCTACAGCAGCTGCTTACCCTGCCTGTGAAACTCCACACTTTCCTTTCTGAGATACAAAGCTGTGGTTTCTTCAAAACTGCTTTGTCAGGCTGTTCTCTTACCCAGTGTGTACATTATGCCACTTGAAAGCTTGGGAGATTACTTATATGTGGATGCCTTAAAGTCAGCAGACCAGAAGAATGTTAATACTCTGTTACTGCCTGCTTAAACTGGGACTGAAATTGACTTACATCCATGGGA